GTTTGTGTATACCAATCTCCTCCCTCTCAGCACCTTATTGGAAAACCGGGCCTCAGAGGTTCCAGGGCCCGCCTTCAAAAAGAGAGGTATTGCATCTGAGCCTCATTAATTCTACTGGCTTTCAATGGTCTCAACAGGTAGGCAATTGCTGACAATTTTGTAAAATTAATGGTCATTTTCACCCTTACTCCAGAATTATTACGAATGATAGAGCCTGCTGCTATATAAGGTCCAATTGTTTCATTTGGTTGCTGCAAACGTAGTATACAGTTAAAGAATGGATAATCGCCAACACTTATCACAGACCCACCAATACATATTGGAAGCATCTACTTAAACATAGAGTAAATGAGTTATTTGAGAATATAAGTATTGGTTTTTAGTTAACAGTATGGTTTTCCCTTTTGTTCGCATAAGCTTTTACTATGAAATAGAAAACAATGCTATGAAAAATCCCTATGTCTGGAGATTTATTAGCATGAAATAAATACGATTTATCCAAAGTTTGTGTAAGAGGTCTTTTTTAAAGTCTAGACATGCTGGGGCTTCAGTCTGTGATCTCAAGGAAACAAAGCATAAATACCACCACTGAGCTATGAAGTCTCCTGTGTTAATGATTCTGTATAAACAGAGGTCATGTGTTAAACTTCACCTTCTACTACAAGTGTAGAATGAAATATTTGAATGTTTACCATGAACAAATCCCTAAAGATAGAAAGAGATCTTGCTAGACAAAGAGCTATGTTTGGTTTTTACCTGTAAAACACTGTCATTTGTTGAATGTGGTCAAGTCATTTTTCAATAAAAGTAACTCTAAGATAAATCTAGGACAGGATTTTCTTGGGAAGATCTGATCAAAGTGGGTTTGTCTTGGCCTTTCTCCAAAGCTGAGAGAATATGGCTTGATAAAGGTCTCCTAGTGGATCTCCATATTCAGGTAAATATTCTGCTGTAGTAGTAGAGCCGGTGAGTAATGTTACAAACAGTAGTATGGGTGCCAGAGGGGGGAAAGGGTTCCTCCATAGCAGAGAAAGAGGATCCGGGACATATTTACAGCACCTACAGATGACGAGTCGTTTGAGGGATTCTCTGGGGATGGTGGGTCAATGAGTGAAGGAGAAGAAGGAGACACCATGGATTGGACTAAGATAAGAGAAGTGCAAGCTATTTGTGAGGAGCCAACAACTAGTGATACATTTATGGGGTTCTCTGGGGGTAAAGACTGGCAATCAGGGGATCCAACCGAGTCTTGGGGGGACCTAAGTCTTGACAAGAGATGGAGGACTTGGAGGGAAAGACAAGGGATTTCACGTGAAGAGCTGGGAGCAGCTGCGGGGGGATAATGATGGGGCAGTGATCAGTTCATCTTCTGATGATGATTTGTAAATAAAAGTGGGTTCAGGGGTGATGGGTCCTTGCAGAAGGCAAGGTGTTGATGAGCGTTCGTGTGTTGGATGCTGTGTATTGGAAAAGATTCTTGTAGACTTGTTGCTGCCTGTTTCGTGTTCGGCGTTGGATCTGCAGTTTGGATCTCCTGATCATTTGCGTGTTATTGACCTGGATTGGCTTCTCGTGAATGTGGACTTCTCCCTTCCTGGCCCTGGACCGGTTTGGCTAAAGACGCTGCTTCTGCGGACACTGGAGCAGCACTGTTTCAGATTTCTCCCACTTCAACCCTGGACTTCGGCTGATGACACTTCTCTTCCTGCGGCCCTCCTTTTTGTTAACCATTTGTGTACTGTGCCTTTTGGTTTTGCCACAGAGCACTTTGTTTGATTCGTGCCTTTTGCATCCAATTAATCTGGATCATATTTCTGTTAACCTTTTGGACCAGGTCTGATTGTTTCTTGAGTTTTGACCAGTGGCACTGCATTTAAGTATCTCTGCGTCCTTTTTCTTTTGTTTTAATAAACTCTATTTTGAAGCCACTTTTGAGTCTGGTCCTTTAAGGTGTCTGTGATTCCAACAGATTCAAACTCTGATCTCTAGAGCCATAGTCTCATGATCAAACCACTACACAACATTGGCTCTCATCATGACATATATGGGCCATAATGTCTTAATGTGGTCATGCATTCATGTTTGCTGTTGTTTTTAATCTTACCTTTACATCAAAGGAGCACATATACTCTTCACAGCAAGCCTGAGATGGAGGTTGACACATGTCTTCATGTTTATTCAGTATCACCCAACTGCATGTTTAAGTGCTAACTTAAAACAACAACCTTCCCCACAATTTATAGCCTAAACAAGGTTTTTTTTAAAAAAAACTGCCTTGGCCATCAGTTATATTAAACAAGATAGAAAAGTCTCGAAATGTGGACTACTTGTTCCCTGCCTCCCTGGAAGAGACAAGAAGTACAGAAGCAAACTAGAATATCTTTTGAAATGGTCTGCAACTATCTGTGCATTTGCCAATTTACTTTGTAAAGCATATTTGTTCACAGTGGGGCTACGTATTCTTAATAATGCATTAGAGATCTAAATCGTTAAATGGAAGGTTTGCTTGCTTATACATTCGGACTCTGTTGCAGATTGCTTCCAAATTCCCTGAGGCATTCTAATTGGGGGGGGGGRAGGAGTGATTGAATTTCATATGTGCGCCTGTAGTCACAACTTGGCTCYAGCTGTGAGAGGAAAAGTAAAAGCCATTCTGCACAGGCCATTTGGAAACCRTGAAACCTATTTAGGCTAAAATCTAATGGGAGTGAACTGACAAGTTCTTCAGAAAGAAAGCCTGGAACAAATTCGTGTGTGTGTGTGTGTGWGWGWGWGTGTGTGTGAGAGAGAGAGAGAGAGAGAGAGACTGATGGATGGAAGGAAAGGAAACGAGTTCTACCAGAGAATCCAGGGTTTAAAATAAGAAGCTCTAAGTTGGTGGCTAGGATGTAACTTAGCAGCCTACAATATAAAGCTTCTAGACTGCAGAGCCCTGGTACCATTCACACTATGCATTTATAGCACTATAAATCTATTTTATCTGTAATAGCAATACTGCCTTTAATCCTGAGATGTGAAATTTAGGGAATCCCCCCCCCCCGAAATTCTCAGGGTGGTCTGCAAGAAAGCCTTACTCGTACATTATTTAAACTGTTATGTTTATTCATATCATGATCTGATCACCATGCTCAATATATCCCATATGCATGGGGCTATTGGGATAACGAAAGGTTTGCTAGGGTAAATCCTCAGCCCCCCTCCTTTGAATCAAACTCACCCCCCCAAATCAAACTCAGCACCTCCCCCCCCCCATCAAAATCCTGGCTACGGGCCTGACAGGATGTAACCATGGCAATTGAAAAATAATCATAATACTACAACTGTGTAATGTGAAAGGGTCTCCACACTTTCCCCGTATGCTTTATAAAATGTAAGAGGACAAGGATAGAGCATCCCAAGTGGGTTGATTAAAGTGATATACAAGATCTAACTTCCAACTCGGCCAGGTCAATCAAAATAGAAGGAGAAAAAACCTAAAGGTTTTCATCGGTCTTAATAAAAAAGAGGAACTTCTCTTGCAGAAATAAACTACAGTATTTGGATCCAAAAATATGTGTATAGCTATGTTAATGACAATTGTGTACTTAACAAACATTGGCATGGGTACCTATTATAATATCCACTTAAAAATAATGGCAGATGTTATTAATACCATAGATGATTTTAGTAGATATTACCCCAGGATGGCTTTTTTTTAATGGCTGAGATTTTACTTTATTCATTTACCTTATAACTACCTAGTGTGAAATCTATACCTAAGATCAGGTCAGCTTTGATTTATAGAGATTCTCTGAAGGTGTCTTGCAAAATGTTTCACCATTAATAGTCTTGGCTTCCTTGATTGACTCTATCCAGTCCTTCCCTTTTCATATAAATCCCACTTTAGTAAGCACCATATTTTCTAAAGAATCATATAATCTCATGATATGTTAGAAATGCAAAAGCTTCAGTTTGGTCGTTGTGACTTCTAGAGTGAGTTCAAGCATGATATACTTTAGGGCATATTTTGCTCATCCATGGTTTTTGTAGATTTTTTTTCCAGCACCATATTTCAAATAAGTTGATAAGTTATCTTCCTGTCAGTCTTCTACATTATCTAGCTTTCATAGCCAAAGCCAGGAATAGGTTATACCACTAGGTTAAAACCTATAGCAGCACACTTTCTTCTGGCACGTGCTCTATCACCTGCCCCCCACTCGCCATCCCACCCCTTGCTCGTCCTTTTGCTCAGTTCCTAATTATATAACTGCAATACAGAACTCAGAGAAATCTATCTTAGAATCATATTTAACAATAGCAACAGGCTTTCTTCATTGGAGGAATAGAATTCCATCTTTCCACTTACACAAAAAAAGTATGATGACTATATGCCCATGATGGTGAACCTATGACACACATGTCAGCACTGACACGCATGGCTATTTTGATGACACGTGGCCACATGCGGCCGCATACAGAGAAGTACACCTTATAAGAGCCAATCTAATTCCATCCTTAAATTTGTAAAAGGCTCTACAAATTTAACATCTTCATGTTTGAGCATCGTTCACTGCATAACTCAGCATGGAATATACATTTTTCTTATTTAAACTATAAATATTGCAAAATTATGGGGGGGTTTTCCTTGAAGTTGACACCCCACCAAGTTATGCTCAGGTTTTTGGCAAATTTTGACACACCAAGCTCAAAAGTTTGCCCATCACTGCTATATGCAATGCATGTAATACTCCCTCCCAGTTTTGAACAGAAATTTCTCACTCAAATAAAGAGGCAACATAAAGTATTCTTCATGTGGAATAAGAAATTGAATTTCCATGGCCAAGCAAGAATATGAATCTTGATCTCGAGAGTCATAGTCCAACATTTGAATCATTATACCAAGCTATCTCTTTAGACTAATATGAAAATTAAATTAAAACTCAGAGAGACTCATGGATTTCAGCATATAATCACAATGTTCTTTCAGTGTTTCACAAGAGAGAACCAATCACTGACATTACCTTTAGCACTGCAATTACAGCTGGTGGATAGCTAAGTCCAACCATATTAGATGTTCGCCTGTACATTCTGTCAAGATAAAATAATAAAATGGGTCTACCAAAAAAAATTCACATAATTTATCCAAATAAAATTGCTCATTGCACAGTGGAGATGAAAAAAATAATTATTTATTATTATTATTCATTTCGGTGTAATTATTCATTTCAGCACAAAAAAACTTATGTAAGGAAACTAACAATAATTCATGATTTTTCTCCTCGTTTTCAAGTAACCCAAAGTGTTACAGAGGAATTAGTCTGTTAATAAAAAAAATCATGCTTTTTTGTACAAAACTGTCTTCTGAGCAAAATATATAAATAAATGAATATCCTGCATCAAAAATACTGCTTCCTGAGCCAAACACTTCCTTTCTGTGCCGAAAGTTTTTTTCACCAAAAATTCCCAGTTTACAGAATAATTCCTCTGCAACACTTCAACATGTTTAAATATGTCAAGAAAAAGTACAGAAATGCTACTCTAATTATTTATCCTTGCATGTGTGGGTGAAACAGTTCAGAATTTACATTCCTAGCACAGATATAACTATGTACAAAACAGTATTTGGCAGAACTACTGCCAAGTGCTGTGCCATGTTGTGGATACAAATTCATTTAAGATGCATAGATTCCTTAGAGGAAGATACACAAGCTACCTCTACCACCTTACAATTGTATTCTTACATTTGTTACTCTGACTCTGCAGAATTTACACAGTATTTTGTTATGAATGCAGAAAAATGTCCTGCAAGGTTTTCATGCTTGCAAGGCACTGCACTGAATCTGGTCTTATTTACAGATCCTTTCCCCATAGGCTCCCACAGATTGCTGTACATGTAAAACAGTCTTCTAACCATAAAAAGGGATCAGAGGATCATATGTAATAATATCTATTTGGCAGAATAGATATTATTCTGCCAAATAATATCTATTTGAAAGTAAGTCTATTTGACTTATTTCAGAATGAACTACAATGGGCAGGACTAGTTTAATATCTTCTCTTGCTACTTTAAGGTGAAATACCAACACAAACATTGGTTGTCACTGCAAAAAAATAATTACAAAAGATCAGAATTTGAGAAAGTTACTTTTGGACTATAGATCCCAAAATACCTAGATACTGTAGTCTTGCCTGAAATGATGTAGAGTGGCTTGGTGTCATCAGTTTGGTTCTTCTTCAGTAGCAATATCCAAAGCATTTCATAAACCTGAGATTACCATTTGTGAAATGGAGAAGATTGAGTTTCTTTTACAGAATCAATTCTACAGTTTAGATCCGGCCTGCACTACCTGTGGCCCTCCAGATATTTTGGGCTTCAGCTCCAAGAATTCCTGTCCATTGGATAAACCAGCTAGTACTTTTGGAAGCCGGACTCCCAAACACCTGGAGAGCCATAGGTTGTGCAGGCCTGGTGTAGAAGAACCAATGTATCTAACAGTCATTGAAAGTATGCACAGAGATTTTTTTGTGTATTTTTTTGACCGACCCAATAAAATTATTATCAACATATGGACTTTGGAATTTTACTGACAGCCAAACACAACTGTCCTGTGATATCAATGAAATATAACTGAAGTGTAGCAGATCATGAGGTTGTATATGAATTGAACAAATGCTCCAACTATTTGTTTTGGTGTTATTACTCACAACCATTTATTTGTTCTTGGGTTTCTATCCCCAGTCTAGTTTTTCTTTCTTTCTTTACTTAGAAAATCTAGGTGAAATATTCTGTGCCAAGGATACATTCTGTGATGTTGGACTATTGTTGGAGAAAGAACAATCAATGTCTTTGTTACCTTTCCACAAATATTCCAGCTTGTACCGCATGGACAATGCTTCTGAAACGTGGTTTTTCCTCAGTCCTTTTCAGCATCATCCCCATCTGCCGCGTGAAGGTGGAAGCCAGCCAGTCCCGTACCTCAGAGGGCACAGAATCTGACTGGATATCACTGAGCTCATCTTCTGTATCCAACAGACGCCTATGGGAGTATAGGAAGACATGCTAAACAGAAGTTCCTTAAGAGATGGCATTTCTCCTGCAATATTCTTTACAATTATCACACATATAATTCAATCTGTTGGTTGCTTTTTATGTGTGTATTTGTGCTTTTCTTAAACAAGATAGTGCACATAGGTGTCCCACCGGATTGCAAAGTAACAAGCTAAAAGATAATACTAACAATGGAAGAATGTTCCATTAATTTTCTACAATTATTTACATACATCGTTTTCCTACCATTATTTGCAATTACATCTGTAACACTGCAAGAACCTAGCTTGCATATTTTCAAAAGGCAACCTCATAATTATGAAACTGTATATGGAATAGTTTTCCATGCACTTTTCCCCAATAAAAAATGGATAATCAGTGGAAGTTGAAGACTAGTGTTCATTCCACTTATATACTATCAAAAGGGATCAGAATAATAATTACATATTTAAAAGCTCCCACAAATTGGAAAGAGAGGGAAGAGTTGGTATAACATGAAATAAAGATATAATAAAATGATCAGCATTAAACTGACACTTCCACTACGACAGAGGGGAATACAGTGCGCAAATAAATGAAGTCTCTGGAGTCTTTTGGGGAGGAAGAAGGTCATTCTCTGCGGATTCCTTGAATTTTCTCTTTTTCACATTAAAAAGTGTAGAAATATGAACTGCCTTTCCAGTTAGTCTTTTGGAGGTAATTCACCTTACAAATAAGTTTGTAGAGTTCCCTCCCTCTTAGTAATGCCAGAAATTACACTTTTTTTTTCAAAACCAGAAATGGACTTCCATCTCTTCCTCTTTTTGTTGTTTGTTTGTTTGTTAACTGATGTGATCTTCATTGTGTCCAAGGACATTGTGTCCAAGGGCAGAAACTTGACTCACATTTGCCTCTTCCAGCACTACTGGTTGTAGCATCCAAAGTCAGGTTCCCATCCCCAAGGTTTTTTCAAGGTTTGTACAGGAAACATAAGTTTGTATCTTGTTTCTAAAGTGACCAAACCATTAAGAATTGAACAGACCTTCCCAATAACTCTGAAATAATTTCATTCCATTTACTCAGCCATTTCACAATGCTGACAAAGCTGGGCAGATGGGATTTCAGGGTAATATTTACCATTTCATACCATTTTGGGATTGAAAGTTTAGATTTCATAAATAAACTAGGTAAAAGCTTCAGAGAAACTGAGACAACTGCAGTGAAAAATGTATGGGAAGCTTACCATACTCTCATGGGGGGGGGGGGGAGCTTATGTTTTAATTCCTTCATATTTCACATATGTGTGGCTAAATCCAGAAGCTAATCCCAACTAGAGTAGATCAGTTGAATCACTGAGGCTTTCATAAATGCTGATTTAACAAGTTCTATTCATTCATTGCGTCTGTTCAAGTTGGGACTAACAATTACTTTTATTCTATGATTCTTTCTCTAGAAAATCTGAATGAATATAGTTGTTCAGCTCATTCTAAATCAAAATAAGAGGTGAGTAATAAAGTTACTTTTCCTTTGAAAATATATTGAAAGTTGCTTTACCTGGTTTCATCAATGTACACTGATTCAAGGACGGTAGCTGCATATTCCAAGTTCTTTTTTAAATCAACAACAGATGCCTCTCCTCTCTCAAGTTGCTTTACCAAGGATCGTAACCTATGGGAAGGAAAGAAGAACCAGATTCATTTCTAGAATTCCAAGGAGTTCAAATTAATGTCCCACAGTAAATCTTTTTCTTCCTCTCAATGTACAGTCGCAATAATTATACACAGGCTAGTATACAATATATATCAGTGGGCAACAATCCATAAAGAGAATTATCTAGGCACACATACTGATGTTGACTAGTGGGGATTAATCAACATCCTTACACAACCTGTTTTCCTGCCATCCTGATTAAAGGTTAGATTTCATAAAACATTTTTATTCTTTTCATATGTCATTTTAATAGGTATATCGAAGTTGAATAGGTATGAAGAAAAATCTGTATTTCTTTTTTAAATCAGAAATGGGGAATATGTGTCCTTTAAGGTGCTATTGGACAAACTGCACAAGAAGCACCAGGGGTTCTGAGATTTTTGAGCCAAACATGAAATTTAGAGATGGCTCCTGGTGATGTTTCAATTGGAAGCCTCTGGTGATATTACATCAGGCAGCCATTGATGATGTTAGAAAGTCAGGTCCTAGTAGTTATTAATAATAGTATATTAAACATCAATCACAGGAACTTTGTGTATGTCATTCAGTTTTAAAAAGGTAAACGTAATAAAAATATGTATCTGGTTGGCAATTAAGTTTCCCACAATCTACATTAAATATGAGGGGAATGATTTTTCTAAATTATTTTTAAGAACATGTAGGAGAAATGTTGAAAATCTAACATATCCCAGTCTCAAAGTTTTCTTTGTAGATGAGGCTAAGAAGTGGAATAGCAAAACAAAGGAAGAGAGAAGAAGAAGGAAGGTGGTTGATATAATTTGGAGAAGTGAGTTTAGAAAGAAAAGGAGGATGGGGAAAAAAGAGACTGGAGGGGGAAAATAAATTTAACTGAAAAACTTGGAAGAGGAAAAAGGATAACAAGAGAGGGGAATGGGACTATGGAAAGAAAGGGAAGATGAATAAAATCAAGAGATGACAAAATGGAGAAAAAGAGAAATGTGGAGAGTGGAGAAGAGGAAGGGGGAGAAAGGTGATGTTTAGGAATTTTTGAGGAAGGAAAAAGGAAGAAATTATGAAAGAAAGAGTCTAGGGAGTGAAGGAGAAGACTAGTACAATAGGAATTACAAGTTAGGACTGGAAAAAAGAACAATCAAAAAAAGAAGGGAAATAAACAATTAAAAGAATCCAGTGTCTAAACAAAATTGATGACATTAGTGGCATACTTTATGACCTAAAAATGACACCACACACAAGTACTTCAGAAGAAGAACGAAATGTGTAATGTGGCATCACGTATTTAGGGGTAGGTTCATGAAGGTGGGGAAAGTGTGTAAAAGTTAGTGGTAAGACAGGAAAATTGACAATGCAGCAATCCTGGGGTATCGGTTCAAGTAACAAATACTGAGCAGTTTAGTTATTTTCCCCACACCAAGAGGTCTCTTCTGCTGATCTGTATAATGCTATGTGCTGTTTAAGAGGTGAAGAACAGGTGGGAGGAGGCAGTCTTGGAGACATCCTAGAAAGTCTCCAACAGTCACTCCAAAGAATCCTTCAACTGTGCATTTGGGCAACCTGTTACCCTGCACCCCGCTTTGGCCACTTTGTCCCTCACCTCATCCCATGGTGGGGGGAGTATCGTCACTTGGCTTCCTCCCATTGTTTCCTATGCAACACAGGTAGCCTCTTGTATTGCCAGTACTGTCTCTTATGACACTTCAACTTCACTTGAGGCACGGAGACCACTGGAAGTAGACTGATGTCATGTGATGGGATTTTTCATTGAGTTGTATGTATTCTTTCACTAATACAATATTTAAAATCCACTTAGAATTTTTCAAATTATTATCTGTCCTCAATAAGGAACAGAAATGAAGTGAACCACCATCTTTTGCTTAGCTAACACCTAAAGAAAGAAGCAGCTGCTTACACTTCACATATTTCATTACTAAAAAAAAACACCCTTGGTAAACAAGAATTGTATATCAAGACATGAATGATACCAGAAAGCCTTATTCATTCATCAATCCCTTCTTCCATGTATTACAGTAGAGTCTTGTTTATCCAACATAAACAGGCTGGCAGAATGTTGGATAAGTGAAAATGTTGGATAATAAGGAGGGATTAAGGAAAAGCCTATTAAACGTAAAATTACATTATGATTTTACAAATTAAGCACCAAAACATCATGTTTTACAACAAACTGACAGAAAAAGCAGTTCAATACATGGTAACATTATGTAGTAATTACTGTCTTTACAAATTTAGCACCAAAATATCGCAATATATTGAAACAGCTGTGGATCCGGGTGGGAGGCAGACTGTGTTGGATAATACAAAATGTTGGATGAGTGAAGGTCAGATAAGCAAGGCTCTACTGCATTCCATTTCAGAAATATAACATCTAATAGTCATATTTGCTTTTTACTACCACCACCACTAAGTCTTTGTCCAGATAACCAATATCAAACACCAATGAGATAAAAGTAGAGATTTTGATGTTATTTTAAAAAAGTGATACTCTGACCTTGAGTGTGTGTATGCCTTCATGTCAACTGTCAATTTAGGGAAACCCCATGAATTGACAGTTTCCTTAGCCAAAGAATACTCAGAGGTGGTTTGCTTGTACCCTCTTCTGAAATATAGCCTACACCTATAGCCTATTTCATTGACAATCTCCCATTCATACTGACACTACGAAGTTTCCAAGATCATATAGGATTTGATGCCTTTAGGATATTTGTCACAACCCGTGTTAGCATTAGCTCTAACTTTTTTAAAAATGTGTTATCACAGATGCTAACTTCTTAAGGCAAAGGAGACCCTCACTGTGCAGATCTTGCCAAGAAAACCTGTGATAGGTAGATCCATCGTAGTTGGAGACGACCTGAGGGCACTCAACAACAACACATTTCTCCACATATTTGTAACCCTTGTAAAAGTGAATACGGAATAGTGCAAATCGACTGAAATGGCTTTGGACTATGATTTTGGATTCCGTGGTTTTAATAATTGGTTCTATTGTTGAGATGTTTTTAATGTTTTAGTTTTTAATGTATTCATTTATTTTGTTTGTATGCATGTGTGGCATCGGATTGTTGCCTACTCGTAATCTGCTCTGAGTCCCCTTCAGGGTGAGAAGGGCAGGGTATAAATATAGTAAATAAATAAATAAATAAATAAATCTGTTTTTAAAATAATAATCCATTGCACTTTTGTTGTTGACTCTTTTTTATATAAAAAATATTTCCAAAATAGGAAAATGTCCCAGAATCCCCATTTCTTAACTTAGTGCTTCCAAAAGTTTTAGAAGTAACAAGTAAAAAATGGCGTAATAGGTTGCTATACAATTTCATTTAAAAAGCACAATTACAATAGGCATTGTTAGCCTCAAATCCCAAAGTCAAAAAGTACATAAGGATTAACAAATAGCTTTACATGTTTCTCAAGGTATTTTGAACATCCATTGTCTTTACACAGAGAATACTCCTTGGAACAACAGGAATATAATAAATATTATAAACAGCTTGACAGAACTAAAACATAAATAGAGACATTGTTTGTATTTGGATGCCTTCCTTTTTGTAATTGGCAAAAAGCATTCTGGCAGATTTGTTCTGCAGAGTGTTTACAATTCACATACAAGAAAGGCAGGATGAGGCACTCACATCTATCAAAGAAGACTAGAGGCAGTGCCCAGTACATCAATCACCTTGCAAAAAAGAAGAGCTCTAAAACCAAACAGTGCATTTTGCTTGCTTATTCTCACTATTTATTATTCAAAAACACCAATAAGACTTTTCTAGGAGGGGTGCTGGTGCAAATGTGCCTTCCCCGAGTCCATCATTTCCTTCATTTTTATGTGATAAATGCTTTTAAAGCATGAGGGAAGGCATTCAGAAGAAGCCATACATTTTATTGATAGCAAGTCTTACATATTAATTCACTTCTCTGCTGCATTTCAGTAAATAGTTACTGAAACCTACTTTCAGTTACCTTTCTGGACACCAATTCCCAGAATCTAATTTTTCCAATCTCTTTTTTCAGTTAAGTGAAGCAAATGGATAAAGCTTCTCTGTGGTTAAGCACTAACTCAGTATGAGTTTGATCAAAGGACTGAGAAGGTCTATCTAATGGCAGGTCTTTCTACATACACTTCCTTTCATGCAAAAAAAAAAGGTATAAAGCAACTTATTTGATCAATGGATCCTGTATGAGCAGTATTATATACTCAGATTACTAGGTGATTTGCAAGGTCACTCCCTTGAGGGTCATTGCAACCTTCATATTTCCTTTCAAATAGCCATGCCACAAACTGCTCTTGGAAACTCCCAGATGGAAGTCACAGAGAACTATGAAACCCAACAAGACCTTTTTAGCACATTTAAATATGATTTGTGTTACAAACAAGGTTGTCATAATCTACTTCCTTAAATCCTGACATGGATTTGTATATAGGCACATTCAATGTTCCATTTTTAATTTCACCATGTTTCCACCTTCACACCATTTTTAAAGTTGCAACTGATTTGACAGAACCCTGTTAAACTGATGGACCCAAGTTCAAATATATGCCTAGCCATGGTACTTACCAAGCAGATATTGTGTCTCAATATCTCTCAGCAAACCCACATTACAGAACTAATAGAGATAGATAAAATAGACATGTAGAATCCCCATGCATTGCAAATAAACAACAATAATATAAGCATGTGTAAAGATACTTCCAATGGGCCTTTCCTCCCTTCCTTCTCCTTCCTCGCTCTCTTTTGTCACATGTTTTCACTAATACCGTAAAACTATGAAAATATCACAGTAGTCCCTTGAGAGTAAATACCATCTGATTTATAGTGAAAGGTCTTTTGGGGGAAATGGCATTCATAACCTTTTTGAAAAGGAAAAATGATGTCATATTCTTTCAGTAAATGTGAATCTCCATGAACATCTGGATATCACCCTTTGAAAACCATCAGTCAAGGAAAGGCATGACCTTGTTAGAA